GGACAAGCCTGCTCTTTTCAGTTGAAATAGACTTGTATGTGAATTTTCTGATCTTTTTCAAAACTTACAAACTCACCCGAAACTAGTAACAAGGTGAAGAGAAGAATCTACATCATATTGCGCTACATTGCTTACTCCAGTTGCGTGGTAGTGGGAGAAGACCATTCTGGGAGGTTTTAGCTAACAAATAACAATTTTGAGTTCTGTTTTCATTCCCTACTGTGTGCAGCTTGAAGCTATGGGTTTTGATCGATCAACTGTATTAGAGGCGTATTTTGCTTGCAACAAAAATGAGGAGCTCACAGCTAACTACCTTCTAGATCATGTGCATGAGTTTTGAGGATTAAGTTGTGGGAACTAATGATGGTGCTTTCTTAGCTCTTGTTCGTCAAGAAGTTCAGCTGGTCGTTTGCATTTCCCTACCTCGCCATTCAGACTTCCCATTTGATGACCACTGTATGTATAAATGTATAATTTCCTGTAAGTTTGCTGCTGTTAACATAATTTGGTCCCCGTAATATGTTTTTTCTATGGTGCACAAATACATTAATTACTAATTAGACACCTAAATTATTGTAAATACATAAGCCAAGCAAGTTTGGTGGAAATAGTGGGGACTTTACCTTGTAATTTTGATTGAGGTTAACGATTCGAGTCTCACCATACACTTGTGTTTCGAAATGGGGGATTCTCTTACATTCCCCCTTACTCTCAACAATTTGACAGTACGTTTTATATAAAATAAAGTAAAGTGTCCAAATTAATACTATTTTTTTTGAAGAAATGTTTCCAAATATATATATATATATATAGAAATAGGATCATATGAGACCACACTCCTTATGCGAGAACACTATTATATGTGAGGGCTCATTATAACCATTGGATCAATTACATCCAATGGTCACAATACAATCCCGGTTTAAACAAAACCATTTAATTTCAAAACAAATTTTGCGTTTTTTCTCTCTCCTTTCTCTTTCACGCGCAATTTCTCTCTCCTCATTCAATTTCATCTGGTTTTCTACTCTCTTTCTCTCTGAATTTTCATCACAACTTCTTCAATCTTCATCAATTGTTCGTCAATGTAAGTTTATTGTTTATTTTTTTTGCTGTTTTTCAATTAATTTTAGGTTACATTCATTGTTTATCTTCGTTTTGATTATCGTTTTATTTGTGCTGATTTCATCTCACTAATTTTAGGTTACTTTGTGCGATTATGTTTTAGTTTGTTTTTTTGTTGATTTTAGTTTTATTTTCGTATTTTTGAGTAATTATCAAGTTGATTTTAGTTTTATTTTTCCTGAATTTAGGTTTTAACATGTATTCTTGTTTTGGTTGTGTATTTGCGAAATTATGTTGTGGTTTTGTTGCGATGTTTCTCGATTTTGTTGCGATTATGTTGCGGTTTTGGTTTGGTTGTCAGTACTGTTAAAGCCAGTATATAGCTTCCTTCGAACATTCAAGGTAATCCAAACACTTAAACCCCTGTTTTACTTGTGAATTCTGATTCGAAAAATTTGCAACAAAATTTTGATGCTGAAGTTAAGAATTATACTGAGTTGAATGTTAACAAGCCTGATTCTGTTTAAGATGATTGTGTGAAAATTGATATAGATGACATACAAGATGAAATTGATTTATGGAATTCTTTAGTTGTATGCTTTAATTGTGTGGCAAATTGTAAGACCACCATTAGCTGTAATGGATGGTTTCTTAAGAAGAATTTGGAGGAATGTGGGGGTAGATACAGTGGTTGTGAAGGATAAGGGCATTTTCATTGTCAAACACAAAGTATCTCAGAATGGGGATAAGAATAAGGAACAAAACAAGCACAAGGAGACTACATGTAGGTGTTTCTGTGTTTCCATAATGCGTAGGTGGCTTGATAAGATTATGCTGATGGACATGTTACCTGATTCAACATTGTAGATTAAGTTAATGTTATACTTGGCATTTCTTTTGCTTGCATGCAGACCAAATATAGATTGTACCTTGTGTTGGTTTTTATACAGATTGTACCTTCTGTTGGTTTGAGAAAACAGGGACTGCTATCATGTCCTATAATCTTGTGATTTTTTAATACTATTTTCTCACATTTAGTATCTAGAAATGTGGTGAACCCCCCTTTTCCCCTCTTTATTTCTCTTACAAATTTGCTTCTTAATTTGATTTTTCTTTGCTACTGATCCTAACAATGCTAAAGATTATACGGATGTACATTTGGAAAGGATAATGTACGTGTTTTCTTATTTCTCATTTTATGTTTTATTATTAAATGCTTGTTGATTTAATGAATTATTAAAGAAATGTTTTCTCATTTGACAAATGAGCAATTAACTATTTGCTTATTTGGTAAATGAGCATAAATTGATTGCTCATTTGACAAATGAGCATCTATGTTTTTGCTCATTTGTGTAAAATAAGGAACTAAGTATTTGCTCATTTGTGTAAAATAAGGAACTAAGTATTTGCTCATTTGACAAATGAGTAACTTAATATTTGCTCATTTGCTAAATGAACAAAATATTGATTGCTCATTTGACAATTGTTCATTAGATAATTATCGGCCTATGCTTCTTTATTATAACATACTCTAAATCCTACCCTAAAGTATCCATTTCACTACACTTCTAAAAAAAATCTATGTGATTTTTTTTTTTTATTTATGATTTTGTATGAGCAGGAAGTCTATTGAAAAGGAGGCTCCTGCCGATGTTGGTCCATCAGGTGCTGCTGCCGATGTCGGTTCATCAGGTGCTGCTACCGATGTTGGTTCAACAAGGGCTGCTGCTAATGTTGGTTCAACAGGGGCTGCTGCTAATGTTGGTTCATCAGAGGCATTAGTGGCAGAAGAGAAGCTCACTGAAAAGAAGCAGAAGAGAATCAAATTAGCTGCTACTAAGGGTTAAGGAAAAAAGGTTAAAAAGGGATTGAAAAAAAAACCAGATGATTAAGCTAGAAGAGATGAAATCCAACAACAAATCACAAGGTTTGAAGTCAGGCAATGAAGTGAAAGGTTTGAAGTCTCATGTTCATGGGACATTGCATAGTCGGATGTCACCCTCATCCATTGTTCAAGTTATGGAATCAGTTTCAGTAAATCAGTTGAAAGCAGTTAGGGATATAGGATTTGGGTCGATGGAGCTTTTGAAGGTGACCCAACTGCCTTTGCAGTTAGGTTTATGGTTGGTGCAACACTTTGATGCTAACACATGCTCATTAAATATTCCTAACTCTGATCCTTTCCGTATTATTGAAGACCATGTGCATCAAGTTCTTGGGTTGCCAATAGGGGGCATAGAGATTGATAAAAGTAATTTTTCCAGAAATAGTAATGTCATTAAGCAATGGAAAAAGCAATTTCAAAGCAACTCACTCTCTATCAAAATAGGGGAGCTGAAAGAGTTTTTGAGGGGGCATAAGTCAGCTGGTGCTATGTTCAAACTGAACTTTGTAGTTCTTTGTGTGTCTACACTGATGGATGGTAAATTCTTATTTTTATTTTGCTCATTTTACTTTCAATTTGCTCATTTCTATTTTATTTTGCTCAATTGAATTTCTGTTTGCTCATTTTTCTTTTGTTTTGCTCATTTTTTGTCAGGGAAACAAAACATGAATATTAATTCTGATATTCTTACATTTCTTTCTGATGTTGATAAAATCAAGGACATGAATTGGTCAAAGTATATCCTTGATTGTCTTGTGAAGGACAAGCTTTTCTGGGAAGAACGTTCAACTCGTTCTTTTCCTGGGTCTTTATTGTTTCTTATGGTATTAATATAATTTTTGTTTATTTTTAATGTAGTATTTCTTACTTATTTGTTGATTTTTAATTTACTAATTTTTTTTCTTCTTGTTTGTAGTTATTGTATGTTGATCAATTTGTACTTGAGGAAGTTTGAGCTGCACGTGAAATTCCAATCTTGAAAGGGTGGACAACAGCTATGTTGTCAACACGTGAGAAATTGGAAATCTTTAAAGGGAGGTTTGGAAATATTCGTGTTAAAAAGCTTGATGCTGGTTCTTCTAGCATGACACAGCCTAAAATGGTATTTAACTATAATTTTTTATTTTATTCTTTTCCTTTTTATTCTACATTTTTAACTTTTTTGTTTTTTATTTAGGAAAAATTCATTCCTTCTGAAGTGGAAACTCAAGTAGGTGCCAATAAGGTAATCATATGTACTGTAATATTCTTTGTTCTTTATGGAATATGACCAACTAATTTTTTCTCATTTGCTAATAAGCAAGCAATTACTTGCTCATTTTTGAAATGAGCAAATAATTTTTGCTCATTTGACAGATGTGCAAATATTTTTTTGCTCATTTGACAGCTAATAAGCAAGCAATTACTTGCTCATTTTTGAAATGAGCAAATAATTTTTGCTCATTTGACAGATGTGCAAATATTTTTTTGCTCATTTGACAGATGAACAAATTATACAATTGGTTATGTCTTATAAGAAAGCTTGGTTTATATTTGTTAGGATATTTGCTTTCAACTTCTTCTAACTTTCTTTATTTATTTTTTTATTTATTTTTTGTTTTTGCTTGATTTTAGGAACAATCTGATCCAATTCGTACAAAAAATGAAGAAACTGAACAGGTTCCAAAGAAGGTATTTATTTGAGTTTTCTGGAAACTTATATTAATTCTTTGCTCATTTTTAAAATTTTTGAGTGTTGGATCACTTATATTAACATTATGACATGCCTGAAGAATTACATGATAGAAGTCAGAAACCTATATTTAGGTTGTTTGTTGGTTTAATTGGAAACATGGCAGGAACCTGTATTTAGGTTGTTAGTTTAGTTGTTTTTTTTTCTTTTTTTTTTTTTTGGTAAGTAAGCAGATTTTATTACCAAAAAAGAAAGAGGGCAAGCCCTCAATCCAAATTACAACAACCCACACAGGGCCACAACACCACCACCAAGGCTAACAGGCTAGCCAAGGGAACGGAACAAACAGCAAAAAGAAACAGCCAGCAACAACACAGTCTAACTAGGAATACAACGTTTTCGCTCATACAACCATTTATAATGGTTTCTATTCCACTTACTACTAATGACCTGCTGGATTCTATCAGTGATACTAGTACACAGTCTGTAACAGAGCCTTCTAGGGTGAATAACAGCTTTGTTCCATAGAGTCTCATTCCTAGCCATCCAAATACAATAGACAAGACCAGTGAGCACAACAAACACAGATTTCCTCTTAATACAATCCAACATAGCTCTTTTCCAATGTTTCCAGGTCTTCTCAATGTCAAAACGCCTATCAGGAATGTGAAGCCATTTACTAATTAAAGTCAAACAAATCCTACTGTAAGGACAGTCAAAAAACAGGTGATGCTGATCTTTAGGTTGAGAGCCATACAGTAGGCAGAGATCACTATCACATACCTCATATTTCTTAAGCTTTACTCTAGTCTGAAGTCCGTCCCAAATAGCCAGCCAAGCAATGAAAGAGTGTTTTGGGATATTGTACCTGTTCCAAATCCAACCTGTCCACTGAACTTTAACACTATCCTCCTGTAACCACTAGCAATTGTGTACTTAGAGTCTTTCCAGGGGCCCTGAGTGAACCCAGCCTTAAGCTCCTCCTTTATGCCACAAATTTTCTTCCAAGCCCAACCATCAGAATTTTTAGGTGAGTAGGTCCACCAGTCCCTATTATGGAGGTAGACACTATTCACCCATTTTACCCAAAGAGAGTCCTTTTTCATAGCCACTTTCCACACAAACTTACCTAAAGCAGCTTTATTCCATTTCTCACAATCTCTAATACCAAGACCACCATATTTCTTCTCCTTACCCACAAGGCAAGTAACAGAGGACATGATATTATGAACAAAAGAGTTAGCTACAGGGGTAAAAGGAAACTTAGGTTGACCAGAAGGAATAGGAGCTGAGTTAGAGGTAGTATTATTAGGTGTTTTGCTAGAGGGGTGAGTCATTGGTGATGAGGAAGGTAAAACCATATTGACTAGAGGCATATGATGTCCTGGGTTAAGGTCAGGGGAAGAAATATTCTAATTTTGATATCCATGAGGAAGGGATTGGTGGGATAAGGTTGTAATGTGAGTTCCATTACAAGGGAGAACGTCAACTCCCATAGATCCCAATTGGGACATCCTAAATGAGCAATTGATTTTTTGCTCATTTGTCAAATGAGCAAAAACTTCAGTGCTCATATGTAGTTTAATTTGCTCATTTTTATATGATTTTGCTAATTTCACATCCACTTTTCTCATTTCATATTCACTTTGCTCATTTCATATTCACTTTGCTCATTTCATATTTACTATTTTCATTTATATTCATCTTATTATGGATTTTTTTTTTTTTTTTTTTTTTTTTTTTTTTTTTTTTTTTACAGAAATGCCTTATGGAGCTTGCAATAGCATCTACAAATCTAGTCTTGTCATACATGGATTTCAGTCAAAAACATGAAGCTACCGTCAAGTATTTTCCAAACAATGAGAAGATTCAAAAGCTGAAGGAAGATGCAATAAGCATTTGTGATGAGCAAAAGACGAGCTCTAAAGCTTTGACTGAAGATATTCCTCTCTCATTTAGCCAAGATGAACAGTATTGGCAAGATCCAGCTGTAATTGAAGCTTGGGATAGGTTTTCAAAGATTTCAGGCAATGACAAGCATGCTGAATCTACAATCAATGCTAGGGTTGATCATTTGAATGAATCAGAACCAATTGATGTTACTAAGATTGCTGCTGAATGTGTTCACATAGCAAGTGGTATATCTGATGTTGAAGCTCCATCTGTTATCATACAACCTAGGGCTGCTGAACATGTGTTTAAAAAACTCGGAGAGTCAAGTATCAGATATAGTTTAAGAAGTTCAGTTGCCAAAGGATGTGGAACTCCTTCATTCAGCTTAGGAATCTTTTCTCAAGAAACTGATTCTTAGGAGAAGTCCCCTAGCATAACACCTACTGATGAACCTGTAGTTGCTCCTGTCAGTGCACAAGTTGGTGCTTCTAAATCAGCTGTTGCTGATGCTTTGAATGCTCAAGAAGATCCAACTACGCTTAAGAGAAAAGGAGATGCTGAAAATGAGAGTTCTATTTCAAAGAAGAAGCGTAAAGTGCAACCATCGTTGCAGATAAGATCTCCTTTTAAGTCTCGGATTATCAACATTTATACACCATTAACAGCAGTTCAGAAAGGTGTTATGGATCCATTTTTTCATGAGAAGAAAAATCGTTTGTAAGTATTTATTCAGTTTTTCAGTTCTGGAAATTGACAATTAACCTTATTTTTCTTTCTTAAAACAAGTTTAGCTCTATGTTCTCACTTTACATATCTTCGATTGAAATTATTTTAACTTCCCTAAATCTTATATGTAGTGATGCAGGGTTTTTATGCGAGGGTGAGCCTAATAGTGAAGTAATGCTATTTCAACTTGAAATGCTAAAAAATCAGAACAAAATTCATGGTGATATCATTAATGCATGGTCTACTGTTCTGAATTATAATGAGCAATATAGAGATATCAATTCTAGTGGACGTTTCTTTTTCAGTCTTAATCCAATTGTAAGTTCAACTCGTTCATTTTATTTTGTTTTATTTCGTTCATGTTCACTTTGCTCATTTCATATAATTTTTTTATATTTGAATGTAGATGTTGTTTTGTATTTGCAAAAACTAATATTAGTTCTTTGCTCATTTGTCAAATGAGCAAACTGTTCAATGCTCATTTGTCAAATTATTCTTGTTCATTCATTGAAAATAAATATTTATTTTTTGCTCATTTGTCAAATGAGCAAAAAATAAATACTGAACTAATTTAAGTCTCTTATTGGATACTAAATAGCATAAAATCTTTTGATAAAGTATTTGAAATACTAAACTAATCTTTTCTTCCCCTTTGATTGATTAGCATGATTAGATGTGTTCTAGAGGAAACTATTTCTTGTAGGTGGTTAATTTTTGGCCTATGAAATCATAACTCCAGCGGAAGCGGCTCTGATCTCATCTGTTTTAAAGACCCTAAGGTTCTTATGCCGGGGACTTACTCTTTTTAAACGTAGTCTTATAAGTTGCAGGGATTTGTGGAGGGAGTTGTTGCTAGTGAAGTGATTCATATAACACTATCTTTTTAAACGTTTTGTGGGGTTATGACATTACTTATGAGGATCTGCTTGCTGAAGAATAGGCATGGTTTAGGGGACTAGTGGTGACAAAAGTGTTCGTACTTGGAAGAGAATTGCTAGAAAGGGTGTAGGTGGGAGTGATCCTAGTTTGGTGAAAGACAAGTTGGGTAAACGCTATCGGGAATCTGAGTTTGCTGATGATGGGGGTGGGCACATCCCAAAGAAAGTTGTGTTCCTGTCACTAATTATTTGCTCATTTGACAATGAGCAATTAATTTTTGCTCATTTGACAATGAGCAATTAATTTTTGCTCATTTGTCAAATGAGCAGTTAATTTTTTTCTCATTTGTCAAATGAGCAAAACCTTCAGTGCTCATTTGTTAAAAAAATTTCAATTTACTCATTTTATTGACTTTTCTCATTTCATATTCACTTTGCTCATTTCATATTTACTCTTTTCATTTATATTCATCTTATTTATGTATTTTTCCTTATGTATTTTTTTAGGATTGCCTTTTTCAATACGAAAGTGATCGTGCTCAACAAAGGAATAAAATGTTTTTTGATATTGTGAAGTTGGAATTCAGCAAAACAGTCATCCCAAAGAAAGATATCGAGCTTTTCTTTTTCCCAGTATTTGAAAAAGATCATTATTTTTTAGTATGTTTTAACACCACCACAGAGCGTGGTACAATGGAGGTTATTGAATACAGTGATGGTCCTAGAGAAAACAAGAAATTTCTTAAAAATTTGGTATGACTCAATATTGTTAGATTATTTTAGAAAAATGATTAGAGTTTAGTTATTTATCTTGATCTTGTTCTGCTTATATTTGTTCTGCCTGTTTTTGTTCTAATTTTAATTTATTTGTTCATTTTCAGAAAAGTGCATTTTCATATTTCATGGATGGTGAAGGAAAAATACAAAGTGTTGTTTTGTCAAAACAGATAAAGTCTATGGAGTCTATAGTGATTGATTTACCTTGGAAGTCTTCAGATGATGATCATTTGCATTGTGGTGTTGCAACGATGAGGCATATGGAAACATATATGGGTTTGCAAAAGTGGAATTCAGGTTTAAGGAAAAATAATGTAAGTCTTTCACATTTCATGCTTGTTGTTGCAACTTATAGGTTATGTTCCTCTCATATAAGTATTATAAATGTGGTTATGATCTAAAAGTAGCCTTGAGCTCTGTCGTGATTTTTCTATATGCATCACAATAAGACATACCAATAGTATTGAATTGCGGGCAGATATCGCCAATATATCAGCACAGAACAAAACTCCACTGCATGTACTCTCCATTGCACTTTTTATCCATTATTTACCCTATACTTACCCTGAATTATTCCTTCATTTTTTCTCTTTGCAGGTCATAATCATTGAAAAACTTTGTTTGAAGTATATCTTCTCAATTATTTCAAGTGAAGTAAATACTGTTAAACCTGTTAACAAATTGTCCAAAAGAAAAAAAAGACTGAAGAAGCAAGTGATATTGAAGAAAGCTAGGGGCAGCAATCCAAGAGCATTCAATGGAGAGAATTGGAGACTGAAGTTGATCAATTGTTATGATGTTCTTAGGATAGGATTTGTATAGAACAATAGAAGTGTTAGTTTTATGATATTTTTAATGGGACAAATGTGACAAATGTTCATAGTTGATAAAATGTTTTTATGATTTTCTTAATGGGACAAATGTGACAAATATTGTTAGTTGATCAAATGTTTTTATGATGTTCTTAGGATTTTCTAAGAATAACTTTTGGTATGTCAATGTAATGGAAATCATTTTCTAAAAGTTGATCTTATTAACTAAGCTGTTGCTCATTTGTTAAATTGCTAATTAAGTATTTGCTCATTTGACAAATGAGCAACTAACTATTTGCTCATTTTTTAAATGAGCAAAAAATTAATTGTTCATTTGCCAAAATGAGCAAAAGATTAATTGTTCATTTGCCAAATGATCAAATAAATATTTGCTCATTTAACAAATGCGCAACTAACTATTTTCTCATTCAACAAATGAGCAACTAACTATTTGCTCATTTGCTAAATGAGCAAAGAAATGTTTCCTTATTTTTTAAACGAGTAACTATTTATTTGCTTATTTGGAAAATGAGCAAACTAATGCTTACTCATTTCACAAATAAGCAAAGAAATGGTTGTTGATTTAATGTATGGTTAAAGAAATGTTTTCTCATTTGACAAATGAACAATTAACTATTTTCTCATTTCAACAAAATTAAAAACACAAAATGCTAAATCTTATATTTATATAAAAATTTTAAATTTAATATTTATATAAAAGTATCATTACACTTTGTTTGGACAATTTCTAATATCATGATGACTCAATTCACCACAACCTCTGCATAATCTCTTCTTTTATTGGTTTTGTTCTACAACCTTTCCTTTTTCTCCCTTCAGCCTTTTTGCACTTCTACCTCTTGTTTCAAGATCAATCTCAGCCCCTTTCTTTTTTGAAGTCTCTTCATTTGATACATGAACTGCAGTCCCTTTATTCTTTGAAAATTTTGGAGGTTTAACAGTTATTTCAGTTGGCACACTAGCGCCAATCAATAGCTCAATGTCTTGTTCTTTGTTGTTTGTACTTCTAGCTGTTGTTTCATTATTTCTTGCAATCTTCTTAGCCTCCAAATATTTTCTTATTCCTCCAAATATCTTGAACATTTATCACAAGGTCTTGAATATCTTCATCTTTGCCTTTTTCCAAACTCACACAAGCGTGTATCTCTGACCATAAATCATTTAACAGTTTTTTCTTATCAATTATATTAGCACATTGCTCCAACATGTTTCCTCCCAAGTCAAAAATTG